AACTCCAAATAGGTGATTACATAGGTGATCTTGATTCTGAACAAACTCCAAAACTATCCCACTTTTTAAATATAATAGTTACCTGAGTAGTCAAAATAAATAAGACATCTGACTCATAAACTTCAGCTACTCTCTTATGATTCACCCTATTAGAAGGTCACTAATGAAAGTTCGTTAGGGATGTTAGGCCCTATGAACTAGTCCCGAGGCTAACCAAGAGGGGGGTGAATTGGTATTTTAAAAAATTCTTTAAAACCAAGAGAACAAATATCACAAACCAAAATCACCACGAAAAAAACAAGTGCAGAAAAATTAAAGTGCGGAAGTAGTAAAAAGAACACAATGGTTTATAGTGGTTCGGTCAACTTGACCTACGTCCACTCCCCGGAGGTGCCCTTCGAGTATTGCACTACCAACGTGACTCTCCTTTAGCCTCCACAGTTAGGCGGAGAAGCCCTTACAAAAACACCTCCTTTTTACCACACCCGACAAGGCAGAGAACCTAACTCCTTTTGCTTCCTCCTGAAGCAGGCAGAGAACCACGATCACTTGCTGAAACTTACCTCTCCCAACCCTTCCAAGGAGAAGAGATTCTAGGGAAGAAGAAGTGGAACAATGCTTGGAGCAACCCTTGTGAACCCCCTCACAAGCTCCACCTCACAAGATCCTCTCTCTCTCTCCCTCTCTCTCTCTCCTTTAGGTTTTCTCAAGTCAAGACAACAGCCAAGGATGTTCAAAAACATTGAACAAGAGCTCTTAAATAGAAGAGCTTTAAAGGAGCTCATTAATTGCAAGTTGCCAACTTTATCGTCTAGGACGATATGGACATCGACCTGGCCGATCAGTACAAATCTCATAAGATCGGCCAGAGAATCGCCCTGAATGCAAACTAGATGATTGAAAATTTGCTTGATCATCCCGGATGATCTCAAGATCGTCCCGGTCGATCAGTTCAAATCAGAGGAAAATCATCCAAAGCATCGCCCTGAATTTGTACTGTCCGATCCAAATTGTCTAGAAGCAACCAAGGGTTCTTGAATGGATCATCTAGGCCAATCTTGCGATTGTTTAGGACGATGTGATCGTATCAATCATCCTTAACTACTCCCATGATTACCGGATCAATTTAGGTATAATTATATAATATCATCCAGGCCGATAAAAGAATCGTCCTGGCCAATTTCCAAAAGTACAGAATACCTAAATAGATCATGGCAGCAATTTCTTTCTGTATTGATCATATCGTCCTAGCCGACACAGGTATCGTCCTGGCCGATCAGTTAATTACGGCTGCCTTAACTAAGAAATCCTGATTAGATATTCTATTTTGAACTCGATCATCCAGGATGATATAAATATCGTCCGGGCCGATGTGAGTAAAAACACAAGTTCTAAATATTTCAAGTGTGTGTGTGTAGGGTTACTTAACATCAGTCACTTCAAATAATTACAATTGACTCAAGAAAGAAAAAAGAAAATTACAGACTAACTCAACCCTAATCTACCCAGTCTTGAGCAGATTCTGATTTTCGTTCGATCTTTGAATCTTGAAATTATCAGTAGTAAAGGCAGAGTGTTTGCTAATCATCAAAACATAATTCATGGAATCTACAACAATCATCCCCTTTTTGATGATGGCAAATACTTTTATAATTAATCCAAAATTAGTAGTGTAAAACATGGAATTGAAAGTGCAAGCATACAAAAGAACCCCTCTCCCCCTTTTGACATATAAGAAAGGAGGTGTTTTTGTAAGGGCTTCTTCGCCCAGCTGTGAGAGCTAAATTAGAGTCACGTTGGTAGTACAATACTCTGAGGGCGCCTCCGGGGTGTAGACGTCGAACCACTATAAACCCTTGTGTTCTTTTTACTGCTTCCGCACTTTAATTTTTCCGCCCTTATTTTTTTTGTGGTGATTTTGGTTTGTGATATTTGTTCTCTTGGTTTTAAAGAATTTTTTAAAATACCAATTCCCCCCCCCCCCTCTTGGTTAGCCTCGGGACTAGTTCATAGGGCCTAACATCCCTAACGAACTTTCAA